TTAAATACCTACTTAGATACCTAGGTAGATTTCATCTAGGTGGTCGTCGCGCCCGCCAGCTCATTACCGGCGAGCGATCGTGGGAGCTTCTGAGGCATTGCCAGCTCCACGCGACCGTTAGGTTCGAGCAGTAGGACTGACTGGTTAATCCAGCATCGCCTACTCTATATATTGCTAGTTGAACCATCAACTTCTCTGGTGCTTCATCTGATTCCTGAGGTTTTACCAGGAGGCGCAAATCCGGACTTCTTTCCCTGAGCTTCAAGATGACGTTGGTGTGACTCGGTAAGCAGTGATGGGATAGACATCATAGTCGCCCCAACACTGCTTCTTATTAATCCAGATTTGGAGCAGACGTGAGAATCACCATCCTTGCCCGCAATTTCCACGTGCTGGAGCTTCAATGCAAGCTCCGATACACTGCACTGAACGGCCGCGGGTTCTGGTATGGGCCACAGCCCGGCTTTATAGAGTGATCGGATTGCCGTGCCAAGCATGGAAGACAGGCAATCACCTTTGTGGGAGGCACCGATTGGCTTTTCACAGAGCGATATGTCATTATCAACAAGGCGTTGTATGATTCTGTTAAATGGTCGGAGAAGCGTCTTGATCATATCTAAGCGCACTTGCTGTATACTTTCTGCAGTTTCATTTCTTGAGTTCCAGGCATCTAGGACAGGATTGGAGGACTGAGCTTACCGTATATTCCGGGCGGTTCCAGAGCCACAACGTAATGCAGAGTATTGCCCACCGACGCATCGCAATTTAGCAGCAAGGCCTTCGCCATTTCTTCGAAGGTCTCTTGGTCGCCAAGGTCCCACGCAATCCAAAGTCTCTCGTGGCAGAATTTCTCCCTCAAGCACCTCCCCAGTTTCTCGCTCCGGGTATGCACAGAACGCGACCAGCCTTTAGCCCAGGGTCGCAAAATATGGGTCATATCATATTTGTCGGTAAGGACACATAGATTATACAGATGAGCTGTATAGATAAGATCTTCATAACCGGCAACTTTGTCGAAACGGCCATGGATGATGCTGAGGACTATCGTCATAGCGGTGACATTATCTTCCGGGAGCTTGACGATCCACTCTTCCCCAATATTCTGATGTTGCGCTTTCTTGCCTTCTGCAAAGTCCCCATACAGCATCTTCTTCCAGAAAGGAGACGACCTCGCCATAGTCTTGGAGCAGACTACAAATTCCGCCGCCATGGGGCCTACGTGGAGACATAAATCGCCATCTGGGTCGATATAAGACTTGGGCGGTCGGACATTGCTCTCCTGCTCGGAAGGTGACTGCGACTCCGAGGCTGGCGTATGGATGATCGGAGAGCCAGGAGTCCCAGGGGTTCCAGGAGATTTTGTTGGCGACTGGCTGGACTGAGGAGCAGGTCTTTTTTGGCCAATACGGGGAGTGGCACGGGTAGGAGAAGCCCCAAAACTGCTTGCCTTGCTCCTCCGCGAGGCTGGTGATGGACTAGAAAGCGAAGCAGACAACCTATGGCTAAAGAAGCTTGACTGTGCTGGAGTTGGTTGGTTGGTCAAGCTCGAAAATAGGTTCGGCTGAGGCGGGTCCCCCCGGGGAGTGGTGCTTCCAAAGTCATTGGACGTTTGAGAGTTTTTCCTTCCGAATAAATTTGCGGTTGGTGGATTAGCTTGGGCAATAGGGGCTCCGAACATAGGCTCCTGGGCGCGAGAAGCTTGCGGAGTTGGGCTGAAGAGATTACTAGGCACAAAGACACTGGACTGGGTAGATGCGCCTCCAAAGAAACCTGTCGTTTGCTGGCTTGACGCGGTGGTTGTGTTTCCGAAGAGACTTCGGGGCCGCGCCGATGGGGTCTGGGTCTGTTGGGAGGCCATGGTTGGTTATAACCCGACTCGTAGTCTCTGATTCGATGGGTGTCGCATAGATACTATCCTCTTGTATTATCCTCTGGTGAAAACTATATTGGCATTCATTAATAAACAGGTATAATACATTGGCAAGATTATGAATGGATGCCTGACGGCCGACGGGGCGGCGACATTAGTATATGTACCTAACCTGGGTCGCGACTGATTCTCTTACCGCCAAACGCATTGACCAGGTTTTCATACTGTGGAAGCTCAATTTTTAAATCATGCAAGCGCGCGCTCCAAATGGGGCACGCATTGAGCCTCATTTACGGAAGGCGAGGGTCATACGGGCCTTAGCGGATAGGTATCCATCGTCCTGGGGGTGCTCTTTACCTTGGGGACGTAGTAAATTGATCTAGTGGGATCGAGTATCGCCGCCTCGCGGTTGCAAATATTATCTCCCAGTTTTAAGTTCAACTGAGATGGAAGTACAGTGCCAATAATTCTCCCAGCCCCGCCAACACTGTATCCCTCCTTTTTGGTCCACTCCACTTCCAACCACGTAGCCAGCCCACCACGTATCCCCCTGCCAGTGGGGATGAGTTCTTCGTTGTCCGCAAGACATATTTAGATCTCTGTTGCGTACATTTTCCGTGACAAATCTGTAATTTATCTATAATTTGCATCAAATGTAACATGAGATTAAACCAATGCAGTGTTGGTAGGGGTTCTGGTGAATCCAGAACTATAAGGAGTTCTCTCGGTCGGAGCCAATCAGCTGTAGGCTAATCCTAACGGCGAAGAAAGTCATGAAATAGTGATGAATATGGATACTAATCATCTCATTGGCTAAAAGTAAACATACCAATGTCGCGTTAGGAAAGCTATAGCCTAGAAATACTCTTAAAAACGTTGATATGCTGGCGTATGAGAACTGTAGCAATGATAAGTCTTGTGTTACTTCAGAGCATTGGAGGGAGTCCTGTGGCTGTTACAGAAATTTCAAGTAACTTAGCTGAGGATCTAGCTAATAAAATCAATAGAAACCGACTGTCGATTGGAATTGAACCAATTATCACGTAATAATGCTTGTAAGCTCTTGGTCAAAGATCGAGTCTGTTATTCGGAGATGTTGCTCTCTTGTCAACAGATATAGATTGCGAGTTTACTCCATGTGAAATATCACGTGATACAGGAAGGTTCCCAAACCATCAAGTCACCTGACTCTCACCTCCTCTCTCCGACAGCAATCTTTCCATATTGAGTTGAAGAGGTAGATTAGGGATGGCAGAAGAGAACAAAAGTTCATTAAGTCCTCAGACTTTATTCGACTTCAGTAACAATACGTAAATCGTCAAGACATCAAAGGGCACCCGATAAGTAGCAAGATAAGGATACGTATAATAAAGGCTGGCCACGGATGGTGTTGCACACTGTCAATCTTGTAATGAATTCATTCAGCTAGGTACGAATATTTGATCGAGAAGCAGCCATATTTCTGATCTATAATATTGTCCGTGGAGAATTGATATGATATTCTAGCAATGATGCTACTTGTTAGAGGAGCATCGGGAAATGGTATACCGAGAGCGAACTCTCCAGACTTCAAGTGGTTAGGCAAGACTGGGAACCCCGAAAACTCCTCATTCGCATCTCTTCCCCACAGCCCACCACTACACTAATGGGTATATCCTGGGACACCCGATGATATAATTGATAAATGTGTTCATCTCTGCCGCTCACAACGCAATGATGACTAACTTCTAGCCCTCCGAGAGTGACGTCAGCCTTTTAAGATGCATGCCCCCACCATTCTAAGACTCTTCTTAGTTTACCGTGTCGCCGTAGGTGTTGTCGTTAAAGGATGTGTGGCCGATGAGGACTGTAGCCTTAATGGAGTCTGTGTCCGTTCATTGGGGAAGTGTAGGTGCGATCCGGGGTGGAAGTCGGATGACTGCGGGCAGCTCGATCTCCAGCCCGCAACACGGTGGACGGGATACAACTATACGAACTTTACCCTACCCGACTTCTATAGCACCAAGGGAAACTCCTCGTGGGGCGGCAACATCATTCAAGACCGGCATGACAGGAAGCTCTTTCATTTAATCATCGACCAATTCGCTCGCGGGTGTGGGCTCTCAGGTTGGAGGCCGTTCAGCACCGTGGTTCGCGCCGAGTCTCGGACTGGACCGACCGGGCCCTACCATTACGTAGAAGAGCTGCTGGGGACGTTTCGTCACAATGCTAAAATCATATGGAGCCCGGCAGACAAGAAGTATCTCATGTACACCATTGGGATAGAGACTGACACGCCGGATACGTGCAAATTATATAAGTGGGCGAATAACGTCTCCGTCTCCAGTGCCCCTGACATCCGAGGACCATGGAAGCCGTCAAAGCGTGTCCTCAACGCAACCAACCCAACTCCATGGCCGCTATGGACGCATGACAACCCTACGTCGGAGATCGTGCTTGGTGTTGAGGACAACTTCATCTACCATGCCGACAGTTTCGGCGGCCCGTACAACCTAATCAAGTCAATGCCGTGGAATACGTCCGATTACAGCGACCATTGGTCGGAGGACCCCTTTTTATGGCGCGACAAGCGCGGTAACTGGCACATCCTGTGTCATTGGATGATTGATATTGCTGAGAGGCACGAGAAATACCCTCGAGTGGGAGGGCACCTGTTCTCGCGTAGCTTGACGGGGAACTGGACGTTCAAACTGCAGGCGGCGTACAATACGACGGTGTACTTCACGGACGGTGGAAAGACGGATTATTATCGGCGAGAACGACCGCGGCTTTACTTCAGCGACAACGGCGAGCTTACGCCTCTATACCTGATCAATGGCGTCCAGGAGTTCAGTAGCTCGGCCAGCTACACCCTGATCCAACCCATCGGACACCGAGCGAAGTTGTATGAGAGTGATTTGGGCTTCTGATCCAGCGATAGTCGCATACTTAGATCAAGACTTTTTGACGATAATTCTCGTAGCCCACCTAGGTTCCATGAATATAGAATCATTTTCGTAATACCGCCGAGCACGAGTTTGCTGAACTACCAGGCTAAGGGTAGGGCCCGCACCCTAGAGCCTCACAAATGGGGACCTGGTCCATACCTCACTGCCCATACATAAGAGGCCATAACCAGGCCCTCATCATCGCTTGCGTAGCTCAATCGGTAGAGCGTGAGACTCTTAATCTCAAGGTTGCGGGTAAGTTCATCATCCACCGCAAGGTCCTCTTCGTGATCCCCAGCTAACAGTCCCGTCCAGGTTCGACCCCCGCCGTGAGCTCAATTCTCGCGGCTCCCAATCAAATTGGGATCAAACCTCTCTTTTTCTTCTCTTTTCATAATATTATCCACAATACCTCTCTGTTCTTTTTCTTGTGTCTTTGTCCATGGCAGCGAAGGTTTTTCCCGCTCCCCACCCGTGAACAATTTCCCAAAAGGGAAATCTAGGGAAAATTTTGGGCTGCATGTAGCGAACCGCGCGATTTGAAGCTGATCCTAGGAAATCATCCTCTAGGAGTAGAGGGCAATCGAGAAATCCACAAGAATAAATACCCTGCGATAGCTAAATTCATGGAGTACGAGATTTCTCCCGTTATTATATCATACCTCATTGCGAGCATTATTAGGTGACGCTATCTACCCGTACCGACCGCTTGGGATGGGATCTCTTTAGCCCGTGAAGCTCCACAATGACGTGCTCATATACAGTTTTCTATCATACAATCTAGGACGGCTCTTTTAAATGGCGCCGTGACGTCTATTGAACGCCCTTTTCGAATCAAGATTTCTTCTACCGGGTACACCCGGGGGGTTGGGTTGCGTGCCTTCTTTCCCCTTCAATTTCTCATCCATCGCTTTAATTGCTTCTTCAGCATCTCTAGCGGCTTCGCCGTCTTCAGGGACCCCGTTATCGACGGGGCGCTGTAGCCAGCCGTTCTTCTCGACTTCGAGAATCTTCTCTATGAAGATGTCGCCCATTTTGAAGTAACCCTTGTCGGTAGGGTGCATATCGTCGGGGCCGATATCCTCGCGAAGGACGCGGTTCGGTAAGCCCTGGTCGAAATGCATCTCGGCCATTGTCACCGGCTTGCCCTCGCGGATGAGATCGATGGCCACCTGGCGAATCTGCGCATTGGAACTCTTGACGCAGCGCTCCGTGCCTTCCCATGGGCTAGTTATGATAGTCGACATAATAATCGTGGCTCGCGGCGACGCTTCGAACAGGAAATCAACCAGGTCACGCATGCTCTGGAGGATGTACGCTGGGCCCCAATGGTCTAGCTGGAAACAATCGGAGGAGCCCGCATTGATTAGGATTAGGTTGGGTTGAACCTGCGGTACGACTTCTTTTAAGCGATCGAGGGTCGGCTTGATAGGTTGGGCGCCGAAGGCCTGTACGTCATTGTCTTTGAAGTCGCCGTATCGGTTCTGGAGGTACGCAGGAGGTTAGAGACAATGAAGGACCGAGCAGTGGCTGCAAGTGGGGTAAGACGATACCTGTCCAACATAGTTGACGGGATTGCCCCTGGAAACAAGCCAGTCCCGAATCTGCTTCCTATAACCCACTTCGCCAGTAGAGTGCTCGCCGAGTGTCATCGACGCGCCGATAAACATAACGCGGAGGGGAATTCCGCCTGCCAGAGGGCCGCTTCCGGTATGTGTGAGACGGTTCCATCCATCGCGGGCGACTTCGGGGTTAGGTTGGATAAATATCACTGTGTTGGTCTATATTAGTCCACGTGCGAACAAGACATGTCTCTGTTAACAATTGGCTTCCAACCTATTAAGAATAGTAGGACCACAGATACGGATATGACTTTGTGGATGTTGGGCAGTTGTTTCCATCGCAAGTGCAGCGCGGATAGGGGCGAATTCAGGAGCATCTTGATGATACACCCATCTGCTCAAAGACGACTAGGTAGGTAGGTGTAACCACTGTTCGCGCAATCTTTTCCGGGAGCGCGTTGGAAGGAGAACATTACGAATCTTCATCGGCTCAGGGGTCTCGATGTTTGAAAGCACGAAGTAACTGGGTATCAACATCCCCGCTAATCATGCTTTTTAGCAAGGTCCGTTATCCCCTAGCGTCCAACCCCATTTGTCGATACTGGCAGCGCCGCACAGCTAAGCAGGGGTATTAAAGTTAGCATACCTTGGCACTAACTCCAGAACCGGGTCATCGGCACCGCCCGCGTGTGTGGCTTTCTATAATACCCATCTACTGACGTAAGCTTCAGCACCAATAGAAAGAGAGGTCATTTGCGAATATCGCCCGTGAAAGGTTACTATTACTCGTTATACGCACACTCGAAAGGCTATATGTACCTAATTTAATGCCAACTGTCAGGTCTACTATCCTTTAAAACTAACGTAAAGTAAGATAGAAGTGATATGAAACGAGTGGGAAGGTGCATGATTGGCGTATCATGGTTAATAAAGCCAAACAGGGTAAATTTTGAACTGACGATACCAATATCAGTTTCTTATATCCCTGAAGGACCTTGAGAATGCACCTACTAGTCGGCCGGCCACCAAAAATGCCTATGTCCTCTACTACTACAACTCTTGAATGATAAACAAGAATCTCGTATAGAATTATTGATTCGTTGCTCAAGCTTGGGTGTCGGCTCGTGAGTTCGTATTCTGTGTCACCCTACCCTAGGCGTTCATGTTATTCCCCAAAGTAGGCACCGCTAACCCCATACCTTTCCATCGTTGTCCTCATTCATGTCATTGACACTTTGTCTAGATCCTAAAGCATAACACATTCCGAGGATCGTATTGATGTCATCTTACGTACCTACTACTCTATCTACTTAGGTACATATCTGGCAATCATCTTTGCTACCTATATGTAGATACTTTCTAAAAGAAAAGTTCGTGCGACCGAATCAGCCACGGCAATACTTAGCGGCTTCGGGACGCTAGCGCCGCGGCACCGCTAATATCAAGCATTCCCCCACCACCACCACCGGCTTGCAGTTTCAAGCCTTAGTAGTGACGCCTTCTCTAAAGCACAGAGAGACGAGAGTTTACAATTATCTGTCTTCCGCTCACAATTATTTCATTTTATCGCCATGTGAATTTGGGAGGCTCATACACTACTACATCAGAGAGAAGAAATCGACATGCAGCAGGGTCACTTGTCATCAATACATCTACTACATCACTGGTGAGAACTGGCATCGCAATGGTACTAACCAATAATTTTGGATCCACACCACAATTCTGATGATCAATATATACAATGAATAGTATAGTAGGTACCTGGTATAATACGATTTCCCACGCCAGAAGCTAGCACAAGAGCTTCCAGACACTTGGAGGCGCTTTATGCAGTGAAAGGAACTTCGACCTGCTTGGCAGCCGCGGCTTTCTCGGCCTGGGCGACCTGGAACGCGTTGACAAGGGCCGGATACCAGACATTGACCATCTTATCGTCGCCGGCAGCGTTCGGGTGCACGCCATCGCGCAAATCAGTCGTTCCGCTGAAGCCCGTGTACTGGTCCACAACCCAGATGGGCGATTCGGTCTTGTTGAGACCTTGCGCCCAGGGGATAATGGCCTTGTTCAGATTCTGGATCTGGGTGTTGTAGTTGCCGAAGCCCATGGGGATGATTTGGGCCACCTAGTCCAGTGAGATTAGCACGGAGCAATACGAGGGCGGTACGGCGATTATCGAAAGGGTGCTGGGAAAACTTACGACAATCTTCATGTTGGGATTGCTGTCCCTCATAACGCCGACGAGGGTCGTGAAAGCAGCAATGATATCGTTGGTCGGCTTGTTCTGCTGCACGATGTCGTTGGTGCCGAGATGCATCGTGATGACATCCGCCGGGTTCTGCTGGAGCCAGCCGACGAGCTGCTTTCGGTTGGCAATATCGATGGCCAGAAAGCCCGAGTGACCCTCATTGTCGCGGTCATAAGTGCTGTCTCCGCAATTGTTCTCTCCCCTACCGGAGCCAACCCAGTCAACGGATCCCCACTCAGTGGGCTTCAGCTTCTCCCAGAGCTTTGCACGCCAGCAGATGATCTCCGTGATGGAGTCACCGAAGGGCATATAGCGAAGCGTGGCGTTCTGGGCGACAGATGCGCCCAGAAGCATGGCGGCGGGGAGAAGCTTGTTGCAAAGCATTGTGATGGTCTTAGACAACGAAAGAGCTAGGTAGTGGGAAGCTTGAATTTGATGGAGTGATTTTTTATCAATTTTTCCGCCATTCCCAGCTTAGCATTTATAGAATTCCGCTTCACTCAAAATCGTATCTAGGTGAGGTGGAGGTCTTCACACCGTGGTATTCATCGGTCCCTGCCAAGGACGGCTAAATGAAGTCACTTGCATGCATGTGCGCAAAATATCAATATACGATGCCTGAATCAACATCATGCTGCGGCTGCGCCGATTGGGGTCCTCTCCACCGGAGTGGTCGATTCCGAGCCCGTGGAGGTTGTGGGAAAAGCTTCCTTTCAACCGGGTCCACGACCACATGGCTTCCACGTGGAATAAAGTCCCATACATCCCTGCTGGTTGATAAATGGCACGTCAAGCTCGTAGATCCGAGAAACGGGATGATGTTTAGAAGCGGGATCGATGATATATCCATTAGTTCCAATCTATCCGTCTGAAACCCTCATATAAGTTGAATTCGCCCATTCGTCGATATCAGGGCCCTTCTTCAACTCCCATATTAAGTCATGCCAAATATAGCATCCCACGTGTTTTCCCCAACTGTATCTCTTTGAAACACCACTTTATAGTGTAGATGCAGGTAATAAGAGCGGAACTTTCGTATGGATAGACTGGCCCTGACGTATCTGCTTAGAAATAGGGTAACATAGCTCCAGAAATACAGGGGTAATCACTTTAAGTAGATGCTTGACACTCGTATTAGAACATTCTCGTACAATTCCTATAGCGGTTAGGACAAATGAAGAGAAATCGTTCCAAAACGTGACATATAGCATACTAAATAGCAAAACAAGCAGTAAATAATGATTACCTGTCATCAAGAGAAGGAGTTGTAGAATTATCCGGCTCCCATTTTCAGGTACAATGAAGCCTATGCAAATCTAGCCATCTCAACTCAGCATGGCACACTGACGAAACCCATGTCAACAGCATACCCCATCCATATGCTATAGTATCTGGATAGGTAGCCATTGTGTCGGCTGCATATAATATATTGCTTATTAGCCTAGCTGCTTGTATCATTTTCAGTTCCGTAAG